AGACACCCGTGAGAGCTCAGAACCGCGGCTCCGAGCCCAGGCTTCCGGGCACCACCAAACCCAGCTGGATTCCAGGCCCCACCAAGCCACACTTTGGGGGGGGGGGATTTCTTCACCTCCTCGACCCCCCCCCCATGGCCTTCTGGAGGTCATCTGCAGGCGTCAGCGCTGAGCAGTGGGTGCGGCGTTTCAGCCCCGGGTCCCACGCCCTGCTGGCAGGTGACTCGTGGCAGGCAAGGCTCAAGGAACACCCTCGGCCAGCGTCTCAAGTTTCATGTTTCAAACCATCTTTCTACCCTTCCCTGAGCTCCTGCTACCCAAACGTCGAGGATTTCTGTGCTAGTAAGAGTTTGTATGTTTGAAAAAACCAAGCGGTTGAGCTCACTACATATGCCCCATCTTCCCTTTCCAGACTTAAAGAAGTTCTGGAATCTCTACGGAAGAACCAAGTAAGTCTAGTCCTTCCTAAACTCTGTCTCTTCTAGCTCTGTAATGATGACAGCTGTTCCCGCTGCCTGGAACTGTCTCCTTCCCCCACGAAGCCCTATTTCTAGCTGGTTTTGAAGACCCAGCGGCAAGGCTACTCCCTCTGGAGCACTCTCTCCCTTCACTCAGCAGAGCTGGGCCCTGTCTCCCACCACCGTGCTGCCACAGAGCCGGCCTGCGGCACTGAGCTTTCTAGAATGATGTGTTTACACGCATCTCTCTACAACCGGACCCACATGTCCTGTTTGTCTTTTTTACCTCTGGTCTCAGGCTCAGAGCTTGGCCTGTGGTGAGCTGCGGATCCGTGTTTGCTAAATAGAATAAACCCCCCCCGCCTCCCCCAAAGGGATGACCTAGGTTCGGGTGTTGACAGCGCTGCGTGTAGAGCAGGAGGTGAGCTGTCCCTGAAACACAGGAGCGCCCGGCTTTCTTCCCAAAGATGGAGGACTGTCGTGTGTGTCCCCGGTGAGCCCAGGGTTGTGAGCGGCACACTGTCTTGCCAGCTTCACCAGGTAACAACAGGACTACCTCCTGAACACTGGCCCTGTGTCTATGGCCCTCAGTAAATACACCTGGTTCACTTTTTCACTTCCCAGCAAATGATCCTCGCCACCCAATTGCTCAAGCCAAAGCTTCTGGAATCTTCCTTGACTGTTCTCTCCCTCCTTCCAAATCCGATCCATCAGCAAGTCCTGGCTTCTCTCAACTCCAAGATATCCAGAATATCAAAGCTGTGTTTGTTCCTCCATCATTGTCACCACCTCAGAGCCATGGGCTCAGGGGGCTGGACCCTCCCCAGAGGAGCGAAAGTGGGCTCTTGGGAGGGGGAAAGATATCTCAGCTATCACAGTGTAATTACAAAGTATTATCGGTCTGAAAGGTGATCCAAAGGCCACAGAACATATACGATAGATCTATCGTATGGAAATCTTCGGGGGAAGGGCGGGCAATTAGGAATAAAATGTCCAGGAAGATTCTTGCAGCAGGAGGGAGGGAGATACTGAATCTATGGTTGAGATCCCTGCCCCTACCTGGAGTGGTCTCTTGAGCTGTCCCCTTTAGCTCAGGATGCCCCACCGCTGCCCTCAGAGAACCCCCACAGCACCCAGCCTTGGCATCCCACAGCCCCGGGGGATAACACAGCAGGTCTGGACCAGCGGCATCAGCGTCACATGGGAACTGGTTAGGAGCTCATTCTTGGGCCTTGCCCACACTTACTGCATCAGAATGTCTGGGAAAGAGACCCAGCGATCTGTGTTTTAAGCAGCCTGGCGGGCGATCCTGCTGTCTGCTCACATTTAAGAATCTATGGGTCGTGGTTAAGACTATAGGCTGTCGTGTTTCCAGTCCTTCATCAGTGATGGAGGCACCAGAAATTCACGTAGGTTCTCCCTGAGAAAATTCCATTATTTTTGAACTATCACCGCCGCCTTCCTTGGAAGAATGAGCAGGTAGGATGCCAAAGGTCAGGAAATGGTTACAACACAACTTTTCCCTACAGAACAGTCATTTCCTCTGGTGCAACCCAATAGCTCTATGATCTGGGGAAGGTTGTAGAATGAGATTCATTGTGTTTTGAGGATTTAAAAAAAAAAGGGGGGGGTTGTTGCTGCCATCCCTGGCTGTTGGTACCCAAGCAGGGAGGAGAAGGCTCACGAGATGGTGGGCGATGGACCCGGAACTGGACGTGTGTACCCAGGGCAGCCGTGCTTGGGATGGACATTGCTGAGCAGTAAGAGGGGAACCCGGCTTTGTCCTGGGAGTGTGGGATCATCCTCCCTCAGGAGCCCTGGACTTGTGCATGGATGGGCATCGGGGTCGTGCCTCCGAGACGCTGCCCAGGTTTGACCAACAGAGAGCTAAAGTCCCAACAGCGACACCATGTGGCGAAGGGAAAGCAAGGCAGTTAGATTGATGGGACTCTTTCGGACAGAAAGCTGAACCCCTTGGGGATGTAGGAACGCCTTCCTTGTGTAATTCAAAGGGAAGAAGCCTCAAGGCAGAAACAGCAGACTTTCTGCCACTACCACTAAAGCATAAATGACACAGGGCTCCAAGCCTCAGCGTCCCCATCTGTACAGCGGAGAGAACGCTGTGTGGAGGCCGTTAGACCAGATTAACATAGGCCTTTCTCCCCACGTTCTGCCCTGTCTCCAGGCCCAGCAGGAGCCACTGCAAAAGCCATTCTGTGCTTTCTCTCTGGAGTTTTTCCAAGGAGAAAACACAGTACGAGGTCAACGGCTTCTTCAATCTTCTGTAAAAACCTATAATATATCCTATGAAGAGAAAATGCTGATCGTCTGATGTGGCAAAGAAAGAGGCAACTGTATTTGAGGATGACAAGAGAGCCAGGTGATAGAAAGTGGCCAACGTCTGAGAGTCCCTCCCTGCTTCCTGACTGCGTCCCCGGGCTCACGGGGGACGGGCACAGAACCCTCAAGGGAATGGCCCCGGGGCTCCCAGCCTCACCAAAGATTCCCCTGGCGCCAAGAATGTCCTGAAGGCAGCATGGTCTTAGGGCCTGAGGGACCATGTAGTGTGAACCGGTGCACACCACGGTGGTAAGGGGACAGATTATGGCGACTTCCCGGGACGGCTGGCAAGGGCATTCCCACCAGCCTGATGGAGTAAGGACTTGGAATTGGAAATGAATTGACTTAAAGAAAATCAAAATGTATTCTGTGTGCCTAGAGCCTTTGGCATGGTGTCTGGTCCCCATGTGCAAACTGGTAACTGTGGTTATCTTTATGGCAGATGCCAAGGGCAGCGTGCGTCTTGCACACGGCCCAACTCCAGGAGCCCGCTCACCTCTTGAGAGTTTGCGAGCAAGTCAGTCCAGAGCCCTGCACCACAGACAGCCACGCGTCTATAGAGCAGAATTCATGTTTCACATTGAGAACAGGAAGTTGCTTCTTTGGGCTTGTGGAAGGCGCCTCTTTTATGCTCAGTTCATTTGGCAACGAGAAGCAACTCTTCCTCAAGGGAAAAAGAATAATTGACTAAAGCTGAGGGAACAAGGAGCAAAAGCCCTTCCAGCTGCTGTTATCCCTCAGTCGAGCTGTGACCCAGGCCCCAAATACTTCCCAAGCCTCTTGAGGGATCCCAGAACCTCCATGGGGAGGGGGCTGGACCTCGGGTCTCAGCCAGCATGGAGGGCCTTTGCAGAGAATTCCAGAAAAGATGAATCTGTTAGTTTCGTGATCACCCCGAGCCAGTTCAGATGGGTCATCTGGTCTCATTGGAGCCGAATATTAAAACCTCTGTCCAGTTATCCTGATAAAATGTTCATGAACGAGGAACAGCCGCAGGGGGTCTACGAGGCCAAGGAGGCCTCCCTTTTGCAGAAAACAAGGATCAAAGGTGTTGTTCAAGGCATATTCTGCGATGCCCTCAGCAAAAAAGAACACTCTGCCCCACCATTTCCCTGAAAAATTCTAATGTTCAGGCCAAGGGGTTCAAAGTGCCTCTTCTGGAGGGCACTAGTGGGAACGACCCAGAAGAGTCTTACCAGCCTGGCCTGGGAATTCCTGCCACCAGGGGGCGCTCTGACCCACCCTCGATCCCCATCATTTATAGCCCAAACACACAAATGTTGCTTCAACTCTTGGGTAACAGGATACTGCAAAGCATTCATGACCTAAAAATCTCACTATCTATTGTCTATGATGTGTATGTGTGTGTAGGGGGGGCGAGGTCTCCCTTTCAATTTTTCATTTTTGTTTTTGGAGCTCCTGTTGATTTAAGCTGTAATTAGAGCCTCCTGGAACCCCAGGAGGGTTCTTCCAACCGGATCACGCACTGAACCCACAATCACTGACTGCCTCCCGTGTTCGTGCCCCGAGTCTGTCCTGGGGACTGAATGTTCACGTCTGCTGGCCCTCTGCTTGGGAACGCCCCTAAAACTATGGGCACCAAACACCACATGGGAGGAGTCTGTTGGACTTTTTCCCAATAGCCACAGCAGGGAAATCGGGACCTCCCAGGGGTCATAATGAGGAAGGCTTTGACCGATGGTTCCACTGTACCAGTGTGGCCTTCTTAATTTCTGGAATTCACCCACTAGCCTCCCTGGGACTCAGGGTACCTGTCACGTTAGTAATAGAGTTTGAATCCTGTCTTGACCTCTGGTGCCCTCATTGGCTACCAGGCCTGAATACAGACTCCCCCAACTCGCCACACATGAGACAACCCTGATACGTCCTTTGGTAGCCTTGATCTTTTTATTCAAGCCTTTATAGGCTTAAATAAGTTCTGATAATGAAGATAAACAACCCGGAGTATTGCTGGAATGGACAGAAGCCCATAATTGCTAGTTTCATTGGGCAGAAAAACATTAGTTCTCCGATCATGCAGGTCGAGGCAATCCCAAAGCCATCTACAAGCCACTGCTTTGATCATGTCACCATGGAGGACCATGTCACGGGTTTTAGAGTAAATTTTCCAAAGCAAATGCTGAGCTAGTAGCGAGCAAGCCACACGTTGGGCTGGGCCAGTCCTCTGATCCGGGCTCTTACCTGTGCAAGTCTCCATGCCCGGCACTTCCAGACTTCTCCAGGTCCCCTTTCACGATCTGACCGCTACCAGGTGGTTGCACAGACCCCGGACTCTGAGCTGGTGAAGTTTTCTGAGCCGGAAGGAAGAGAAATTGGAACAGAAATCAAAGAGGAGTGTCTGAAGACACAGAAGCATTTCTCAGTTGGCCACCGGCCGCATCAGGTTGTGCGTTTGCTTTCTCATCCGCCTGAGCAGCACTGCGCGCAGGCATGAGCCGCACGGGGAGGCACGTGGGGAGCCCAGCAAGCGTGGCACCTGCACTGCTCTGATGGAGGAGACACACGGTTACGCATGAGACTCCAGCTCAGCAGGATGCCTGTGACAGTCCAAGGCCAAGACTGGGGACACCTACAGACTTCGGGGTGGGGAGGTCATCTGCTCCCTGGAGAAAGGGAGGATGTCTGCTCTAAGATCTTCAAGTGTCTAACTGGCTTGTGGCGTCACCTAGATGGAAGCCATCTCCTCCTCCCTCCCCCGCGGTCCCACGAACCAGAATTCCACCGGAAACCCAGGCAGGACACTGAACAAAGAAAGTGATGAGCTCTTGGAAACTTGGGCCCACCGGTCCAAGGCCCGAGCCATTCTGAGAGGCTGTCGCTTTTCCTTTACTCCCACAATAAGCTTGTCTGCCAGGTAAGCATTTTTTAAAACCAAGAAAGGACGGTCCAAACTTCAGATCATGGGACAGAAAGAAATAAGAGGTTTTTAAAAATCAATTTAAATAGTTCTCATTTAATGGGGCTCCTGGGTGGCTCAGTTGGCTAAGCCTCTGCCTTTGGTTCAGGTCATGTTCCCAGGGTCCTGGGATCGAGTCCTGCTTCGGGCTCCTTGCTTACTGGGGAGTCTGCTTCTCCCTCTGCCTGCCACTCCCCGTTTGTGCTTGCTCTCTGTGTTAAATAAGTAAAATCATAGCTTTGCACTGTGGCAGTATCGTAGCCAATGAGGTTTATCCGAGGTGTGATTATTGCTAATTAAATAAAATCATAAATAAATAAATAAATAAATAGGGCTCATTATAAATAAGTAAGGCTCATACATAAATAATAAATAAATAAGGCTCATTAAGTGTAGAATAAATGTCAGGAAGAGGAAAAGGGCTTCTTTAAACCCAAAGCAGTGGCTGTCTTTCAGCCCATCTTCCCGGCAGTGCTCCTTCACAGGGCCCCACAGCCCTGCCCACTGGGGCGCACACAAGACTCCCCAAAGACCCAGAGGGGCAGGAATCTGGTGAGGGTTCTGCAGAATAAGAATGCGGCATTACCAACAGCCTGTTTGTAGACATTGTGGACAAAGGCAGCCTGTGCCGAGAGAGACTAGTGCCAGCAGTCAGAGAGAAGCCGGGTGAGGGACAGAGGGGCAGTGGTCCCGGTGATGTGGAGGCTTTGGTACCACTTGGTCTGGGGCCCAGCCTGTTCTGCCACCTCCAACCAACGATTACCTGAGATCTCAAGTCCCCATTTGCCTTCTCTGGTACAAGGTGGATTTCTGTCACTTGCAACCCAAAAAAGTACGTTCCATTAATGATCAGACCAACTTTGAAGGAGACGAAGTGTTCTATGTCAGCTAAGTTTAAGAAGTGCTGGTTATCTAGCCCTCTTTTCACGGAGTGAAATTCATGGAGTGCCAGAAAGGGTCTGAGAAGTTCTGTGGTCAAATGACATTGAATTCTAACTCCTTTTCCCAAAGTTTCTTGGCATCAGGATCCTTCTGTTCGCGTGTCACCTGTCACATCTCCTAGAGCTAGTGTTCCATGGAACACAGTTTTGGGGACAGTTAACACAAGGCCTCATTTCTTTTCGCCTTGCTTAAACCTGGCAGATGATCCAAATCCACAGGGCAGAGCAGCCCCTAGCCTGGGGGGGCGCCTGTGTGAACACTGGAAGGCGGCGTTGCTCTGGGCAGGTGCATGGCCTGTGAGCAGACAGCACCTTCATGTGAATTAGAAACAGCTTCCCTGTCCTCCAGCTGTTACAGCTCAGACCTAGGCACATGGCCTGTTGGGTGCTTGGGAGAAACCGAGCTCCGTGAGCCCCTGGTCCCGTCCTTGAGGGAGGCGGTGGAGGTGAGGTACCAGGAGACAGGCAAGAAGAGCTCGTCTGGACTTTGCGGGGCTCCCTGTGTCTGCCTGCTCCTTGTTGCCAGAAATCTTCTCTCACCCCTCAGGGGCCGCTGCTCCAGAGACAGACCCCGCCGGCCCTGCCCAACAAAACCAGCAGCTGGAAATACAAAAGGCCTCTCCTAAGCCCAACAATTTACCAGTTGTGACTACGGATCCTGATGCAGCCAAATCATTTGATAAATATCTCATTTCACCCAGTTTTCCAGAAAGTATTTATTGATTTGTTGATCTATTCAGTTATCTAAAATACACTCATCCGGGTGGCTCAGGCGGTTAAGCGTCTGCCTTCAGCTCAGATCATGATCATGGAGACCTGGGAGGGAGCCCATGCTCAGCAGGGAGCCTGCTTCTCCCTCTCCCTCCGCCCTTCTCCCCTGCCCCCACTCATGCTCTCTACGTTCATCTAAACCATACCATGCACAAGAACCAATGCTAGAAGTGGGGGCTACAAAAATGAATGAGGTTCCATCCCTTCCCTAGAGTTGCTCAGTCTAGGGAGACAGTACCCCATGTCATGACCACAGATGTATAAACACAGGGTCCCCCCAAGGGGAGACCCAGTCCTCCCAGGGAGGGAGAACGCCACCCACCGGCTCTGTCAACCTCCAGGCTGGGGTTGTTGGAAACCAATTCTGGAGCTTCCATGGGACATGCGGGTGCAAATCATCAGCTCAGTCTGGACTTAGGGGGTCTTCCTAACACCTTGAATCTGCTGTTGGATGGGTGGTGTCCTTGACCTTCACACACAGCCTAAAGAGCAAGTCGGTGTTGGTTCTGTTTCCCCCGACTAGGGCACGTATCTGAACGGCTGGCTGCTTTGATCCCCCAGTTGTGTCCAAAGGTAAAATATCAAAGATGCCTCAGCTCTCAGGGGCCACACATCCTAGTGTGCTAACATGGTACTATAATTAGAGAACCTCCATTCACTTTTGTTGAGACAGAGTGTGGGAGGAAAGGACAGTAAGACTAACTCCTGTTTATTGAGCACTTACTAAATACCAGACACTGGGCTACTGGTCTCCATGGACCATGTGGTTAAAACTTCACAACAACCTTAAGAGTAAAGTGCTACTCATGTCCTTGTTTTAGAGCTGAGGCTTGCAGAGGGGAAGTCTTTGGCTAAGATCACACAGTAATGGAGTCTAGAGGGACCCATTTCTCTCGGACCTCAGTGCCGGAAAAAGGCATTTTTCTTCCAACCCTTTAGTGGGGAAATGTTGAAGGCGGCAGAGAGAGCTGGGGCTGATCCCTCACCTAACAGAGGGGCTGCTGACCCCCTTCCTGCTGGCATGACTTCCATGCTAGCTGGACCATTCCCTGACATGAGAACTCCACCCTGCCCTATAGACCTCAGTCCCCCGATCTGTGAACCAGAATGACAATCATCCCTGTTGGATAGTATCAAGACAATTCAAACTTTAAATCACTGTCAGTTCAACCTCCAAAGTGTTCTTCTAGAATGTTCTTTATCTACATAACACTACTACCTTTGGACACATGAGTTAAAATTTTTCACTACGGTAGCTCAAGAAAAACAATACAGAGTGAGTGACATTTTCATACCAGGGTCCTGAATTTTTAAAACTGTAACCCAATTCCTACTTGTCTGAACGTCACATTGGCCTTGGCTCCAAACACCTTCTGCAGCCGGGCTTCCAGTTCAGTCACATCTTCGGCGGCAAATGATTCCGCAAATAATTTAACAGATAACTCTCCTGCTCTTTATACCATGACCAAGGTTACACTAAGTAATTCTGGAAAGACACTGACATGTCTAAGAGCTCAGACAGATGCAAACAACAGATGGTATAAGGAGGCAGATCCCTGCTCTCACTAAAGGGGATAAGGGACCATGTGTTAACATTCCTCAGGCAAGGAAATATAAGAAGGGCTCAGATTCATCTTGGAAGCAGACAAAAGGATCTGCCTTTCTGCCTTTTCAGTCCCACCACCTCCTCCTAATAGAAAGCTAATCTGCGAGAAGAATGCCATCTCTCTCCGACAAAACAGAGCCGGATAGTTTCTTGCACGCACCGGTACTGGGGTGTCTGGGGGGCCCAGTCCGACTCTTGATTGCAGCTCAGGTCATGATCTCAGCATTGTAAGATCAAGCCCTACATCGGGCTCCACGCTTCACAAGGAGTCTGCTTCTCTCTCTCTTTCTCCCTCTCCCTCTGCCCCTCTCCCTGCTCACTCTCTCTCTAAAAATAAATAAATAAATATTTTTTAAAATTAAAAAAAAAATGGGGCACCAGGGAGGCTCAGTCTGTTAAGCGTCTGCCTTTGGCTCAGGTCATGATCCCGGGGTCCTGGGACTGAGCCCCGCATTCGGCTCCATGCTCGTCCTGAAGCCTGCTTCTCTCTCTCCCTCCACCTGCCATTTCCCCTTCTTGTGCTCTCTCCCTTTCTCTCTCTGTCAAATAAATAAATAAATCTTTAAAAAACTTTTTAAAAAAACAAAAGCACCAGTACTATCAATAGGAATGGCACATGCACTTTTCAGTGCTTTGAAATCGATCAGATTCTTACAAAATCCCTGTGAGCTAAACAGGAAGGCAAAATAATGTTTCCCGTTTCTCAGGTGAAAACCAGAACATTCCATGACTTGGCCAGGTCTTCCTCCTTAAAGCCGATACTTTGTGCACAGCAAGAGTACCACCCAACACCAACCTAGCACTTCCTCTGCTGTAACAGTAACAGCGAACATATTACTATCCACAATTTCCATGTGCCAAGTGCTGTTCTTCTAAGAGTTTTACCTGTTGAAATTCATTCAGTGCTTACTGCAACCCTATCTCACAGACGAGAACACCAGCAGAGAGAGGTTAAGCCCCTTGCACTAGGGCACAGGGCTTGAAAGCGACAGACCTGGGATTCAGTCCCAGCCTGTGCTCTTGAACCCTACCTTATGTGGCCTCACCAGACGTGGAAACAGTTGCCTATGATCCCTG